CAGATAGATCAGTAGATGGTAAACAAAATAAACATGACAATAATATGGAAATAAAATGCATACATATAATTTCAAATATTTATTTACAAAATAACATTTTATGCACAATACATTACGAGGGCTTCCTCAATTCTATAAAAGGTACAAGTCTATTGCAATGACATTACATTAGACAAATGTCGTTTGATATCAGGTTTATTAGTGATTGAGATAAATTCCTGGTATGAAGATAAATAAGCTGCACAATATCTTGTATATATTTAGTATCAGGAGTGAATAGAAGCAAACAGGTTTGTGTGTATTCACTTCTGTTACTTATCATTGAAGACTGGTTATAGTCACATTCTATTATGCAGTTTGCTTCCGATAGATGGCGCTAGAATGTCAAAATTCTATTCATGGTGTTTCTGCCAATAGATGGCGCTGGCATATAAGGTCAGGTCATCACGTGCCGGTCGGTGTCACGTGACATTATTTTTCCTCTTCGGCCATTTTACAATCATCGTTTCGTTGTGGGATTGTTAGGTGTCTAACAATTTTAACTAGTTCTTCGAAAAGCTTTATACAGAAATCATGGCAGATGGTATGCAATCATACAACGGAGGTGGTGACAGCGGAAATCGTGCAGATGAAGACAATAGGTAAGCGGCTTAGTAGTAATGGCTGATTTGATATCTTGCAATCTTTTGGAAAATTTAGTTCCAGTACGCGGCAGTAGTACGAACAAAGGATTGCGAGTTTTCGCGTTGCGAAGCTTTCGAGCAGGAGGCAAAATTGATAATTGAAAGCTGGAAAGCTAGACCTAGTTTAGTTGTAGTGTGTTGTGGTTAACGTGTAGACGAAAGTCACGAAGATGGTAAACATAACCGTTGGTCTCGGCTTGGCATGACCGTGACGTGGTTTTTTTAGGAAGATGATTTAATTATACAGGCGCGGCTTTCTATTCAAAACGCTAGTACTAGTAGTAGTACTACTACTAGTAGCCTATTTACACGTTATTTTGGAACATTGCAAATGTGCTAAACTAGGATTAGGCCCGTACTGTCGTCTATTTCCTTGTCTGCCTTTGTTTGCCTTGTCCTTTCCACAATATGATCAAGGTGAGATGCGAGTTCACCTGCGTTTCTGGTGGCCGTTTCGGTTCAAGGATAGAGGACATGGGTCCCAATAAAACCAATGTCATTTACATCAATATAAATATAATATTATATCAATATAATAGGTTAGGGTTGGGGTTAGGCACATTGGTTTTATTGGGACCCATGTTTTCTATCCTTGGGCCGTCGTTTCCGTGTGCAGTGCTTTGAGCTGTCACTGTTTTTTGTCATTCTTCACATTGTTGTAAATAAATTATTGGCTAGCGTGGTACCGTATATTATAAATTATCTTATTTTATTGTAGGAAACTGTTTGTTGGCGGATTGAGTTGGGAAACTACACAGGGTAAGTCTATGTTACAGGAAATTATATTTTCAAGTCACGTATTACGAATATTACTACCATCTTGTATCTTGTGGTCCCTCTCTTGTATTTCACAAGGCACAGATTCTCTTGGAATGTGTGGGGAAATCCTGTAGATAAGGAAATTCTGTCTACAAGTTGGCATTAATTAATTTACTTTCTCTAATTGATAATGCCTTTCTAACATATTCTAGTGCTGGTTTTAGTATTTTTGGGTCATCACTTTTCCAATCTTCTACCCGTTCCCCTTTATTATACCCTCTATATATCTTACACGAGTATAAATGTTCCAAATTTTCTTTTTTCTTTTCATCACATAAATCACATATATCGTTACTGTAGTTATTTTTTTAAATAACTTTTTAAGTTAATCATGCACGTCTTACACCTAAACACAAGGCATGCATCATCAAATGACAGTTTTGTTATATATGGCTTTATTTAATACATAGCTTTCGATATTTATCATTTTCATTTTTGTTTTCTCACCAGACCTCATTGTATCTCTCATAATTATTGTTTTTAAAATAGTCTCCTTCACATATTTTTTCCATTCTTTCTTATGTTTCGAACCAATAGTCATAAGTGACATACTTATGTCATACTCCTTCAAGATTTCTAAAACCTCATTTGCCCAATTACTTCCAATTTCTTACGTTATACCATGACGTTATACAATCTCAACATAAAAATGTAAGCGTGATGCTTGAACTTCGATGATCAGTACCCAGCAATGTGTATTGTTTTTTTAATGTGGCCACAAGGTGATGGTTTGTGACGTGATGTTCTCTTGTTCCTTACAGAGGAACTGCAGGAGTATTTCTCTAAGTATGGAACGGTGGTCAAGTGTATCCTCAAGACAGACCCCAACACCGGTCGTTCACGAGGATTCGGTTTCGTCGTGTTTGAAGACAAAGATGTCATTGAAGGCGTAAGTCATCTGAAGCACACTATTGATACAGCGATGTTGCACTCATATCTTGTCTTGGGTTTTCTGTGTTGTTTATCACGAGCCAAGCATTTTGTGGAATGTGTGAGCTATATTTCTAAAAAGAAGATAACTGAAATGAAATGAGCGTCGACTTTGGTTCTACATAATCTGTGGCTGGTTTCAATACTCATGGATTGTCACTTCCCCGTTCATGTATTCAGACCTGCCAACCCTTACGATTTTTTCGTATTCCTTACTAATTCCATGATGTTTCTACGAATGTACGATCAAACTGACAAACTTACGATTTTTTACGACTTGTGAAAATTAATGTTTTTTACATTGTGAGCCGAGAAATATCTGGCGATTTTGGGCGCAGCTATATTGGATCACGCGTTTACGTTGTTCTCGCGTGATCTAGAGTTAGTCCCATCATTCATTGCGCGCATAACATACAAACAAAATGGCCGCCTGCTGCAAGAAAAGAAAAGCCTTACTATTTTCATGAATCACAGGTTGGCAGGTCTGTGTATTTGTTCACCATCCTCATACTTTCTGTAACTATTACGCATACATAAATGTTCTAGGTCCTGTTTAATATCTTTTTAATGTGACTGATGAGCAGCACGAATCTATAAATAAACATTTGACACCATCTTACCTGTTTGTGAATACGGGGTTACAATGGCTTCATCACATTACAGGTGATGTCGTCAACTCACACGCTGAATGGACGTCAGATTGACCCGAAGAGAGCGAAGTCTCGCCCGGGACAGGAACCGATCAAGAAAATCTTCGTCGGCGGTCTGGATCCGGACGCGACGGACGATGACATTCGTAGTTCGTTCTCCGAGTACGGCATGGTGAGTTGGTCGTGTCGCGGGTTGTTTATACGGTGAAGGCGGGCGCCGAGCAAGCCAGTCTCGTCCATGTGTGGATAGAAGAGAGTGATGGCAGATGTCAAATTTTGTTTCTGGTGGGGGTGCATGGCAGGTGTTTGCTTTGGTTTACTCAAGATTGTTAGGGCACAACCATGGAATTATTAAGGGGTATCTAGGCAATCGCTTTCACCAAAGAAGTAATTGTAAGAAATAGAAAACACTACATGGGCTTCATGGTGAGGGTACAGAGGGACATGCCTGTTAGGACAACCATGAAGGTTTAGTAACGAGATACCATCAGCCATGTTCAGCGGTGAATACCTTCTCACAGCGTGTACATGTGCGTTTAGGTTCATGCATGGGTACATGTATGTATGTCTGCATTCTGATGTCATTTACATATTTAATTACACCTCAACGTACATGTATACGCTGAGTATTTTCTGATTGGCAATGAATGGGTGGTTTTGGTGGGTTTCTGATCTTCCGCTTGCTCGGCTCCCGCATTTCGATAAAACTTGTCCCGTGTGACGATGTGAGTCGTATGTGCCGTGTTGTTATGATAAAAGTAACCCGAGAATTTTCTCTTTTTCAACTACAGGTTACTCATAATTTGCTCTAACCGAAAATGTTTGTTTCCAGTACAGTACAGTACAAGTTGTAACTTGCCAGAGATGTAACGCTAAAGGGTAACGATGGTAACCGTTCACGTAACGACTAGTCCAACTTCGAGCTGTTGGTACTTTTCTGCAGTAACCATGGTAACGGTAACGTATTATGTCCGTCCGGCAGGCTGCGGACAGTGTCTACAACGTGACCGTTCCTTTTACAGATACGTTGGTCTGAGCACTTAGTACAGCTCAAGCGTTGATCTGCGGATGCGAGGTGACGGGAACTCCCACTCGGAAGGTGGTAATGCAAACTGTGCTAAGAGCTGTAAGACCAAGCAGACCACATGTAACGAGAGCTCTAGTTGGCACGTGAAATCGTTAACTGCTCTTTGTTTTCACACGTTTTTACAGTTTCAGAGTTTATTGAGAACGAATCAATGCAAGCGTCCCAGCAGTGTTGAAATCTTCCGTCCTTTTTCTCTCTATCTCTCTCTTTCTCTCATGCCATCTTAGTCTTGCATTTATATTCTGCAAGATTTCACCGTTTGATGTTTGCAAGATTAACCAATGATTTTCGCAAAAAAAAATTAACGGATTTTGCCAAAACGAAGCAATGTGCAAAGGTGCTTGGAGATGACCCTCTCTTGCCCAATACACCATAGAAAACCAAACAGGGAATCCAAATTATAAAGGCAGCATTGGTAGCTTGCAGTGACGATCGTTTCAGTGGGTTTGATGTGGCGGTGTGTACTGGTGGGAGAGATGGGTTGTTGCATCAGGTATAGTATATACGAGCAGTTCATAGGTGTGGGTGAAACGCTCTTGTGTTAGTGCCTGTGCCGTCATTCCCGTGTTATAGAGGGCGGCAGTGTCACCTGTTGTGCGCAGGCTGTCCGATACTGTGAACTGATCGCACTGAAAATTTTACGATGGCTGTTGAAATGTGTTTCCTTACTTTGCTATTATTGTATTTCATTCCGTTAGCTGGTGAACTTTCATCATGGGAAGTAGGTCCGAGGTAGGCGTGACTCCAAGTTGCAAACGAGTGCCACTCAAACCTACTGCAACGATCACGAACCTTTGATCATCGCTCCGCTTACTGTCGTTCGCTTCTACAGTGTCATTCCAAAATTGTTTTGCTACATGTACAAAGACCCCCCCCCCCCCGTTTCCATAGAAATGTATCTCTGAGGTCGACAAACTTGGGGCGAATGGAAGCCTCTGTTTGGATTTAATTAAAATCGTTCGTTATCGTTGCAGGTTGAGAACATTGAGCGACCATTTGACAAGATCAACAACAAGGCGCGTCCGTTCGCGTTTGTAACGTTCGAGACCGAAGAGATCGTTAATGACATCGTGAAGCATGGAAAGATGATGGTCGCCGGAAAGGAGGTGCGTGCGTCGTCTCATTGTCGTGCGTGCGTCGTCTCATTGTCGTGCGTGCGTCGTCTCATTGTCGTTGCTGCGAGACTTTACTGTTACTCTGTCGCATTTTTTTGGACTTCCACTATGTCGTTTGTTCATATTTGTCTTGTTGACTTGTGTAGTCGCTGTGCGGTCGTCGATGTTTGTTTTAACCGGTGTTCTTCCTCGGCAGTGTGATGTAAAGAAGGCAACACCGAGAGAGGACCGGCAGGGCGGACGCGGGGGCGCACGAGGAGGCCGTGGAGGCGCCCGCGGCGGCGGCAGGGGAGGTAAGCTTCAAACGCTTTAAAACGTCACGTTTCTACATTATATGCGGGTTGTTCACTCGTGAGAAGAGGTACGATTATTGCAATTCTAGGTAATTGCATTGCCAGAGAAGCCAACCACTACAATTTATCCGTATTTTATACGAATTTCTATTCCTTTTGCACCAATAATGACCAGTTTGTATCAAACTACGAATTTCACTGTGATCGGAAAAAAAATGTTTGGTAGTTATTGTCATTTTTTTGTCAATTTATTGTCATTTCTGACCCCCAGAATGCAGGAAATTGCATCTCAGAGTCAAAAAATTTTCAAGAAACTACAGATTGCTTCAAATATGTGTTAGCATCTCTGCATTGCTTATTGCTATTCTGGTTGATACATTGTTGGATCATTCAGTGTACCAGTTGTTCATGGTTTTCTTTTCCTTTGTGTTTTCAGGAAGCTACAGCCAGGGTGGATGGGGCGGCTATGGAAACTACGACCAGAGTGGATACGGCCAGGGATACGGAAGCTACGACTACGGTCAATACGGCGGCTATGGTAGCTACGGAGGACAAGGTTACGACTACAGCGGCTGGGGACAGGGATACGGCCAGGGAGGACAGGGATACGACTACAGCGGATATGGTAGGCTGTGTTACGTGATAACAAATTTGCACTATTTCAACCCATGGGTGGAGCTGTGGTCATTCTGTTCTGGTATATACCACCAATACATGCCATGTGCTCTCCCTCCCTCTCTTAAAGTACAGCGACCTGGCACTACCTGGTCAAGTTCTGTGTTTAGCCTTTTTGTATATAACGTAACCTTCTGCCCATGCATATACTAGTCTGGCAAAACATGCATAGTTACCTTTGCTTGGATAATCGGATAAGAAGTTTAATCCATGCTCTCTTTTTGTGTCATTTTAGGTCAACAAGGGGGATACAAGGGAGGTTCCAGCAGCGTTGCTAAGCGTGGAGGTGGCAGCAGCAGCTACAAGCCGTACTAGACATTCCTTGTGTAAGTTGACGTTTATCGTTTGCCGCGGTGAATGGCTGTGATGGATGTGTGACTGACAGTTCAGTTACAGCGCGCAAACAAAGAATCCTGTTTTGTATGTGTAATTGGTCATTTTCTTTCAGACTAGTAGTGTTGTTCTGACTTGTGGGTAGACAGTTATTCGTTTTCTCGCGTTCGTGGCACTTACTTGTTTCTCTTTCCTCCTTTCAGTAATCCCATGAGTGGGTTTCGCTCTGCCATTGGTCAGTCTCCATGAAAGAAAGATCACAGTCTGTGGATAGCATCATCACTTGTACCCAGCGTCCTTATTCTTTGTTTGACATATATATACCACTTAACTGTATTGCTTGAATAAGGTTTTCTCGTGAAATGCATGGATGAACGATGGATTTTGCAATCGTGAGAAAGTATGTGAGCAAAGGTGGTTTTTCTTTTTAAGTTGCACTTGGATGTTTAATCGGTATTGCCCCGAAACATTTTCAGTTGCTTGTAGAGTGAAGTTCATTCGCAAACTGTTTTGAACTCATTGTGTTTGTCATAAACAAATATTTCGTATATTCGAGTACAATTTTACCATTTCACGTGTATCAAAACAAACTTGTGTGACTAATTATAATAGCTGGTGTTCGATTTTAGAGTAGTTAATATACTTTGTCCCTGAAATCATTGCTGTACACATGTATGTCTTGTGAAGTACTGTTTTATAAAAAAAAATTGAAACTACATTATTTTGTGTTTAGTTGTCTTTTCCAACATAGCGAGTCTGGTTGATTTTAAGTTCCTTTTCTGCAGTATAGGATGCAGAATTAGTTATTTATTGCATTTAAAAATATATCACTTGAAAACTGCAAACATAAATTTCCATTGAAAAATAACGTTGGGCAATATTTTCCTATCTTATTCGTGATGCGACGTTGATAAATTCAAGAGATAAATTGGTACCTGAAGAGCTAATAAATGAAATGAGTCTATAAAGATGATAGACCAAAAGTATTGATATCAACCTGATGGTATTTCTGTATTGATATCAACCTGATGGTATTTCTGTATTGTCATAACGATATATATGTAATTATGTATATCATAGTCGCCAGTTCTTGACCAACTTCGTTAGAAAATTATTTACTATAAAAAAAAGTCAGAATAATGTATCTACAAAAAAGAACTCACATTTGGTCAAAAGTACGTGTTTATGCTAGTAGAGAGCGCATAATTCCCAAAGTAGTTTCATAATAAAAAGTTTCTGTTTCAATGTCTATTATATACAGCAACACGTTTTACTGAACTATGACATGTGATTTAGCACAATACGCCACAATACACACTAATCTCATGACTAATTCTATAACTATATCCCGAGTATTTCAGCATCGGAATCTACACTCTGGCTAATATACGTAATTCCTCGTAAAATACGACTCCTTTCGGAGGGAATGTATATATTTTGTACAATGCAGGGCGGGTCGAGGGGGGGGTCGAGGGGGTCTGGAGACTCTGGACCCCTCCTTTTTACCACAAAAAAAAGGGAAAAAAGCATGCACGCGCGCGCGCACACACACGCTTCTCTTATATTGTCTCCATAAAAAAATCTTGTTTAGCGCTAGTTTTTCTGATAAAGATTTACTTATATATATGTAAATTCGTTATAAAAACCTAGAAATGGGCAAAGAGGGGTCCGGGGGACTGGATCTGACAAACTTTTGCATTCTAGACATCAAAATTACTGCTCAGATGCTCTCAGAATGCACCAATTTTTTTTAAAAATTTTGGGGGAGGTCTCCCAATCCCCCCCCTAAGTGGCCTTCGGCAGCTTTTTAAAACACCAGAAAAAGTAAGCAGAAAAAAGTACCCTTTATTTCTTCCTGGACACCCCCTTTTCAAAAATCCTGGATCCGCCCCTGCAATGCGTCTTCGATTAGTGTTTTTGAGGTGAATTTCATTGGATAGTGGCACCCCGGCCGGGGCAGTGAATTTTCTCAAGGTGTAAAAACCTGGCTCTCAACATTGGAGACTGAATCTCCCGTGGCTCGGATGACCACGTAAAATGGCGGTCCCGTCTCCAGTAATACTAATGGGCCAATGGCCAATGGGGACGATCGTACGGGGTGAGTGTCAATTTCCGGAACAGCCGCAGCTGTGACGTCAGAGGTCACTGGGCAGAACAAGCAAAATGGCCGTGAAAGAAGGTTTGAAATTGCTATACTGGATACAAACAGGCCTTGTGGTTGTGCTATTCTTCACGTTATTGAATATACGGATCGGTAAGTAACTACTCATGCATTTTTTATCGATTGAAGGATACATGCGTTTGAAATATCCACAATGATTGGCGCAATAACGTAGTTACTCCTGATGTTTTGGTTCCCCATCAAGAAGAAAATCCACCCACCCACTCCAGCATCTCACAAGACGCGATTATGTTCTTTGTGGCGTCAACGTTTTGTTCTCTCAAGTTCTGCTACGGAATCTTTACTAATTTTCCTGTCGATCATGCGTTCAATCAGTGATTAACTCGTACATTACGGTGACCTGAGCTAAGTGGCTCTAGTACTATACTCCCGCCGGCGCGTACAGTTGCCGCAGGCCAACTGCACAGTCCTGCGGCAACTGTACACGGACTATAGTACTAGAGCTATGAGCTAAGTAGCTCCAAGAAACTGTATTGCTAGGGTTAGAATACCGAAAATGTATACAATGTATATTGACGTTAGTCACACAGCCTGGTTGGGTTATGAGCTAAGGTGCTCGTGACCTCGGGTTCCAGTCGAGTTCAGAGTAAATAGTTGCGAAAGTAAAGCAAAAGGTAAACCGTGTTTTCAAAATTCTGCATAATCTCAGTCCTGAATACATGACTGAGGGAGTAACATTACCTTTAGAAATTCACGGCTTCAAAACTAGGGCTGGGGAGATGTCAATCTTTAAACCAAGAGTGGGGGTCAATGGAAAGAAGGCATTTATATATATGGTACTTCAATTGAATTCAATTATATATATGGAACTCCCTACCACCGCACATTAGATCTGCAACTAGATATGTTAGTTTCAAAGGGCAAGTTAAAAAACATCTTATGGAAAAGGTAAAGACGATGGAGGACAGTCAGTGACTTCTTATTTTACTAATCGCGTATAAATGAATAATCTGAATTACTGTAGACACGGGTTGTGTATATTTGTTATATGTTTATCCTGATGTTTATAGTATACAATATTATATATATAATATAGGACCATAATGGAAATAAGTGTGCTCGTCACGCTTTTTGTGTTTTCATCCTCGATAATTATCTAGCTGCATATTGTTTATTTATGTTCTTATCGTTGGAATGTATGCTTTGTTAATTATCGAAATAAGTAAATATATAAAAAATATAAAAAACCGCTGTGTAAAGAAGAATGCAATTCATTCGTACTTTAGTGGCGCGAAAATTGACACTTACTACGGGAATGTAGCAACAGTATGCATGTCGGAAGAAGGAGTTATTGGCAATTAATTATTGCACAAAGACACGGGTTTGTGGCGGCATTCAGACCAGCTAGATGTGTTTGCTATATCTATGTGTGCGTGCGTGCATGCGTGTGTGTGTCTGTCTATGTGTATGTGTACTATTAGCAGAGGCTGCATAATTCTTACAGCTTTAAGTAAGAAGTAAACCGTTGAACATTGAAGTGAGTAAATGATCATGAATATAGTAGCACTGTTGAAGTGAATGCACCTCAAGTAATTCACGTAGCTGCGACATATTCCGATGGTAATTGGTATCATAGCCACATATGTAGCTTGTGCCACTGCAGCATGTGATGTGAGAGTAGACACAACTGTAGATTAATTGTTCATTATATAAATGCCGGCTGATATCGCTGAGCTCTGCTTTGCCACAATGGCTGCCATTCACCTGACAAACAATCCCACAGACATGGAATCGATGTCTTCTTCCACGTCAGTGCCCAGCATGCCTAGCAACACTCTCTGTCTCCGCATCTCTTCCCTTAAACTTTCCATGCTAATCCTTACAAGGTTACAGCTGACTGACACAGGCTGGGAGATGCTGTGTGAAATATCGCGGCAGCGGCAGCGGCGGCGGCGGCTAGCTGTGATAGATGATGACCAGCACACGGGAGAGACTGCAGCCGCGTTGTCATGCGGCTCATCGATGGTAACTTCGCACGAGCGAAGTGTGAATATCGGAGCCCACATCCACCCCGCCCCCCTCATATCCACTCGCCCCCATCACCTCCCCCCTCACATGCACCCTCACCTCACCCCTCTCCTCCCACCTCACCTCCCCTCTCACATGCACCCTCACCCCCCCCCTATCCACACTCCCCCCCCTCCCCCTGCCACCTCCCTCGCCCCTCCCCCTGTCACCTCCTCCCTCGCCCCTCCCCCTGCCAGTGCTCGGATGCTCGTAGACTTGGTTACAGGGACTGCGGAAACGGTCTGGTTGAGACGGGCACAAGCTCCTTTGGAAAGCGGCGTGGTCGGGTGTGCGAACGCGTGTGCGCCAGTCTAGGCATTTCAAGGTTTACAAATTGCAGCCGAGTTTGAAGCCATAGAACGGCAGGCCACAGAAATGCCTGCGGCTTAGTTTTGTTTTTATCTAAACAAAACTGACATGCGTGTAAACAAATTAAATGCGTGCAGGGATTCACACATGCAAGTTTTATCTTTCGCTGTCTTTCGCTGTCTTGCGCTCTCTCTCCCCATCTCTCTCTCTTACGCACGCACGCACGCACGCACACAGTGAGCGAGAGAGAGAGAGAGAGAATCTCTCTCTCTCCTGCATCTGCTCATGCCACACATGCACACGTTAGAAGCTCATGAATGCTTCATAGAATTCAGCTTTGCTCTCGCATCATTAGCTATAGCGCACTGACTACGTGCCGTAACTCACCCTCTCACCACTGCTGAACCTCTGTGATCTTTCCCACCCTATCCCCTCGCTCCCCCACTCTACCCCTCTACCCTCTCATTCTCCCACTCCACCTCCCACTCTACCCCCTCGCTCCCCCACTCCATCTCTCTCTCTCTCTCTACTCCCTCGCTCCCCACTCCATCTCTCTCTCTCTCTACCTCC